AACTTTCCAGCAAAGCAAAGGGGGCACTTCTTCCAAGAGACTCATGCCTGGGAAGATAATTATATACATAGTGTATGTGATAGTGTGGATTTAACAAAGCTTAAGCATGTGCTTAAATGCTTTGCTGACTCAAGGTAGAGTTAAAAATATGTTAAGTGCTTTGCTGAAATTGGGCCTAATTCTTGCCAAAAGTGCACTTAAATCACAAAATTTGAAAGATGCCAGCCTCAGAAAAAAACACATTAAAATGCCTTTTTTTTTTTCCAGAAAGAGTGGACAGTTAAATAATCCTTTCAGCTCTGATTTGTATTTAAATAGCATTTAATTTTGACCTTCTTTTATTATTGTTGTTACTTTCATGTATTAAATAATTTCTTTTTTATAGTTAACTTGCTCCCCCTGCCTTACTCTTAAAGTAATGCCATTTTTTTGTTAGTAATACAACAGTACTTTGCTACATTGCATAGACCAGACTGTGGCATTTAATAATATCTGTTAATAAAAAAAAAAAAACAAGGCTGCCTTTTTAGTACAAGTGTCTTCACAGTTCACTACGATGTGAAAGGAAGAATAGGAAATCATTTTAATTCTATATGATCTTGAAACAGAGGATACTTTATGGAATATATAAATTCAACAGCAGTATGCCAGGCTACGAGACTGGACATTTCAACATCCTAACAAAAGTAGCAAAACCATCCTGAATTCTAGGCCATTTACTAAAAAATATTTTAGAAATTGGTGAATAAAAACTGGATTTCAGATTAGAAATTTTAGTGTGAAATAACCTATTTCATGCTTCATTTAAATTAATCCTGTATGTAAAGAGTTCAAGGTTGTAAAGTAAAAATCTTTTAACATTGGAATTGCATACTGTGACATAAGTAAATAATTCATTTTTCCTTTCCCATTCAGAGTTAGATAATGATCCAGTTTACATAATCCTGTGGACAGTTTAAGACCTCCTAGACTGCAATATTTTCTCAGACTTGAGCTAGGATGAAAATGTCAGTGATTGAAAATTCGTCTGCATCCACATAATACATTCCTGCAGATATTAAAAGGTGGCTGAGTGATGGACTGCTGCAATAGCAGCATGGTTGTAGCTGCTGAGAGTACAGTGAATTCCTGGCAGACCCGGAGCAGTCAGCTGTGAGGCTTCACTAAGCCTAGAGGAAACTCTCTGGGACAAACAGGTGGGGACCAAGACCCAGTTTCTCCTATCCTTCTTCAGGGTGTTGGGGATTGAGATCACGTTATTTCCACCTGCTGTGCAAAGACAGACAAATCTGTAGCTCTCCCTTTAAAACCAGAAAGAAACTGAATAAGTCAGAGAAGATGTTTATCTTCCCAAAGAGTTAAGGTGAATTAAAGAGAGGAAGAATTATTCTAACCTGGACAGAAAAGAAAGCCTCTGTTATTCAAAAGGACTACCGAATTATCCTGGATCTAAACCCAAGGACCCTGAGCAGCAGGATTAATACAGGTAGGGTTTCATTATTTTGTTTACCGCTCATAAACACCTGCTACCTCAGTGAAGATTTATTTTGTCCAGAAATAAACTGCAAAGCCTGTCCTTATGCATGCAATAAGTTACTTCTATCATTTGTCCCTGAAGATCTAAACTGTAAACTCAGAAAATAAACCCTGAGAATGGCTGTGCTTATGTTGCAAAAAAGTCCGAGAGGGTTAACTTCAGGGACTAGAAAACTGAACAGACTATTCCAACCACCAGAAGAATTTTCTTGGTAACACAGGTACCATAGAAAAACACACAGAGATGCCAACCAAGGGCAGTGGATGCTTATAAAGAGAAATTTCAGGGCACATATAGGCACTCAGACATAAGATTCTGAAAAGATTGCAGGATGGCAAACTCTAATACGGTTATGTCCATGTACAGTGAGAGAGAAAGAAACACTGTTCCCCTCTTTTTCCTCTTTCCCATGGGGATACATAACGTAAAATTTACACTGGTTTTTGATGTCTCTTTTCTTGGGCAATATGTCTACATAAGAAGACAATAAGTAGGTGGACAGATGATGCAAGGGGTGTAGTGTTGTAAGTAAAATACAACCATGACCTGTGACTTGAGAGAGCTACTTGACTGTGAGAAACCTGAAAGAGACTCCATGATAGTTGTGCCTCTCCTACTGCATTGGTAGATTATTCAGTAGATGAGCTGATTTTTATCAATCTGTTGTAACAGTTACATGGTTTTAGCAATCTTTCTATATACTTGTGTCCTATTAAAAGAAACAAGTCCAGCTCGTTAGTAAACCTTTCCTCCATTTCAAAGCATAACTGCTTTCCCATAAACTTTGTGTTATTTCTTCATTTTAAAGTACAATAGCTCTGTTATACTATTTAGCAAGTACAACGATTCTTCCCTGCTGCCATTTTAGTTGCTTTTTTTCACCTTGAACCAAGAATTAAAGTAATTTGTCTGTTAAGTAAATACTGCCCATTACCAGTAGAAATAGTAGTTCTTCCTGCATTAGGCAGAGCGATCTGAACCTCTTCAACTGATCCTCTGACTGTTTTTCTCAGCATAGTCTGCCTTCTAATATTCTGTACTTACCTCATGAACTCATTTTCTATATAATTTCCTAATTTTTTTTTTTAATGCTTTTTACCAACAGTGGAAAAATCAGAGGCATAATAAAATAATAATAATTCTAGCACCATTGACAGAGGGAGTTTGAGAGATTGGATGCAGCTGACATCTAAGCACTTAAAATTGTCTATTTATCTGTCATACTTATTTTATTCTTTCTGAGCCCCAACTAAATTTCACTGATTTTCAAGGGGTGCTCATAAAGAGTTTCTGCTATGAACCCAAAGGGAGCAACGAGTAAGATTTTTTTTTTTTTTCATGTGTGTGGAGAGGAAGATGGGAAAAATTAGGCATTAAAAATCAGTAATTAGGCAGTTAAGTGACAGTACAAACTCTGTTAAATATACTGTAAAATTGAATTAAAAACTGCAAGACCATTCCAGGGAGATTCTAAACTGCAATTAGGATTTAATCGTTACAGTGTTGAAAAGAGTTTTAAATCAGAGGAAAGCACTATCACTGGTGCTTAAAGAAGGTGCAGGAGCGTTACCTGTAGTGTGAGGTTAATCCATGAGAGGGACACGCAGTCTAGCTGTTCTGATCCCTGACCAGAGCTAAGGGAGTGTGCAGGTGGAGCTCAGTGGCACTGAGGCTTCTTGCTGCCTTCTGGGGGGCTAATTCAGCTGCAAATGCTCTCTGTGTGTTTTTTGAGCCTGTGCTCCCTACCCTGCCCTGCACCACCATCCACTTGCTTTCCTGAAGGTGCCAAAAAAGACCCAGCAAATTTAGCAAGATGAGGCATGATGTATATCTGTGCCCCACGGCTAACACATGGACTGCTGACCCGGCAGAGTTATCGATAACTGCAGGGTGCAATACCTGACCCAGGTGAGGCTCTGTGTGGATGGGGATGATGGACACATCTGGCAGGATGAGGTAGGTATCAGGACCTACATCCCCTAGCTCTGAGAAACCCTCCAGAAAAAACCCTGGGCCCAGCACACACAGAGTGCCTGAGGAAATCCGGTGAAAGAAACCTGTGCCCCTCCTCAGGGAAAAATCGATAGACAGATATTTTGCAATGCTAGTTGACTCCCGGGGCTGTCCTGCTGGCACAGCTGGAGAGGCAATGCACCGCGGTGAAAGAGGAAAAGGCAGCAGTGGGGACATGGTAAAACAGTGTAACTGAAGACTAGTGTCATGAAATATCTTCAGCTCTGGTTTCTCCCTTCAGAATAGCATCACTTGCATATATCTATGAAACTATTTTGCTCTAAAGCCAAATACTCCACTCTCCCGCCAAGTTCCAGATGGTTGCCAAAGAGGTGATTTTTTCCACTTAGAAATAACACTACCTTTGAAAATATTCACATTGAAAATCAAGCAACAGATACTCATTGAGACTAATTTCCTAGAGCAGCCATCAGTTTCCAGACACAGAAGCTCTCATAGACTTCCAGATTCCACATTCACCTCCTTTGCTTTCTCCGTACAAGTATATGGCGATAAAAATAATGCACAATGTATTAGGCAGGATTTTCTTCACCAGTGACATTAAGAACAGGAACATATGTGATGTAGAAGCACTGGAAGATGACCAGCTGTGCTCTCAGTCTGTTCAGTCTGTTAATAGGACTAAACCTTCAGCTTTAGCCATTCTGGGGTACAGGGTGTGATGTAATAAGATATGCAGAAGAAAATGAAATATGAAATTGGATATGTAGTTAATTTACTGTATTAACAGGCAGCAGTCTAGTTACGATGTTGCCAAACAAGCATATTTAATATTTTGCTATGGTAAGTTATTCTAGGGTTAAATTAATTTTAAGAGAAAAGTGTCATTTGGGGAGGGGAAAGAAAAAACTAGAAGTCAAGGCCTACTGCTCTTTATCACTTTTAAGGAAAACTAGATGTTTAGAAATGTGTCAGAACAGACAAACTAATTTTATTTTTCCACAAGAAGCCATGCCAGCTTTTCCCTTTATCTTAAGCAGATTACTGTCATCACCATTCTTGCCAACAAGCAGACTCGTCGGAATATTTTTCAAAAATGAACACAAATATTGGATGCAAGCAGGTGGAATGAATTAATTATAAGCATATGGTTCTAACATAACAATTTCTGCAGTGTACTGTCGAGACATCTAAGGGTCTAGCTATACAACACATTTTGGCAACAAAACTGCTTTAAGAAATTATCAGTTACAGGGATATAAATGTTTGTGGAGACAGACTTACTGAAATGATCCAGACTGAACACCCTGCCACACACACACACATTTCTAGGACAGTTTTTATCTCTAAGCCATGGCAATGGTGTGGATTACATGGTGTCAAAGGCAGCAGGCAAGAACTGGTAGCTTTGGTGGGGAAATAGTTCTTTTTAGGACAGCTTCACACAGTAGCTTTTACATCTGTACAGTATGTCCTATGATAGCCTATATCAGCTGCACTTCCAGCCTGCAAGTCCTTTTGTGGTAGAGGCATCTGAAGATGTTCCTGGCTTGCACTGGTCCTTGACAAACTCCCAATCTACTCTATTGATGCAAGTTATTGTTCCTTTATTTGGTGGAGATCTCTGAGATAGACCACAAAAGAGGTCTGAATTAGAGAAAGACAGACAGCAAACAAGTTTAAAGAAAGAAAGAAAGAAAAAAAAAAAAAAAGCAAGCCCAGATCCACATAGATCCACAGACACATACAGTGGGATCTGATGGAGGCAAGATGCAGCAGAGGGAGTGAGCCTGCCACTCCTGTGATAGCAGCACCAGGCAAAACTCATCAGCATAGAGTCTGGTGCACCATTAACTAACCTACTTTAGAGTAGAATAATATTATGGTTTTACGTTGATCACATATTCACATGGGAATTCCTGTCTTTTTTCTTAGTTAATTTTAAATGTGGTAAAAGTACAAGTACCCTGAATATTTAGATAGTTATTCATTATATTGGGTTTTATTAAGCAGAAATGCCATGTGGCATTTTTGAAGATGGCTGTGAAGCAGACGAGATCAGAAATTAATAAAAAGTACTAGATTTTTACAATCCAATCTAAATTCAGATATGAATGTGCCATTATTTTGTTTTAAAAAGTTTGCTTGTCTTTTCTGTGCGTATATATGATTATTTAAAAGCTCAATTTTTGAAAACCTACTGTGAGATCAGCACTTTGAAAAATCAGATCCCCTTCTCAAAGGGCTTGAGTAGAGCTTTACATGGAAACTAATTTCTCTAGATATCGGGCTTTAAATCAGTCTTTACATTCAGATTCAGTTTTTGATCTCTAGGCCTGCAGAATAGCCCAGTGTGACACCTCATAGCTGCCATGGGACGACAAGAAGCAACCCATAACCAATCAATGCAAAATCATTTTGTTCTTAGCAAAGGTTTCACATACAAATTACCACAATAATTTATAGAGCAGACAAAACCCCCCAAAACTGTGGCTTTTGTATAATCCAGCAGATGGTGCTATGATGCAATAAATTGATTCAAGAACACAAGAAATACACTGAATGTGAACATTTTACTCTTTTACCTGGTGCTGCTGCTTTTTTGGTGGCTGGTTTGGCTGCAGGAGTTTTTGCTGGCTCTTAAAAAAAGAGAACAAATTAAACCAATTACTACAAAGTATTATAGTTTAAAAAAATAGAAATCTGGGGAAAGGTTTCCGATGAGATATAGCCTGTAGCAACTTTTTTTTACTCAAAGAGCTAGACAAAGAGATTACTCAAAGAGAAAAGCACTGAGTTGCCTTCGATAAACTCAAAGGCATCTACAAAATAACCAGCTGAAGGACTAACAAACTCTTGCCGTTAGGCACTAAATCACTTCTTTCAACTTTTTCTGTCTAGTAATTAAATATCTATTGGCAAAGCAGAGGAAAGCAGGTATCTAGGTATTCAGGCATGGCCTTGCTGCTCAGGCAGCAGCTATGGGCTGGGAGCCTCTGCATTTCATCTTGCAGCTATGAGAGCAGAAAGCTCTGAATCAGCCTATGGCACCTGGCAAGGATTCACTGCTGTGAATTCAGCAGTGCTGCTTCTTGGGATCCCACAGCTATTCAGGTGGAATCCTTTTCCCCTAATCTGAATCTCTCCCTGATGAGAAAAACTGAAATCAGGCTACTTATTATGCAAAGTGCATTTGCAGACATGGCTACACCAGGAATATCTCTCCATCTGAAAGGGTGGAGGAGCATTAGGACAACAATTTCATGGTTGATCCTGAACTTGAAACAGCAACTGCTGGGTTCTCCTAGAAGAGAAACTGTATCTATTAGTCTGCTTAAGTGTAGTTTTTATGTTCTTGGTGTTTCTTTGAAACATTTGCACTGCCCTCTCTTTGCTGAGGTAGCACAATTCCTTGCAGAATGAAGGTCCAGATGATGAAGTGTTTGTGCATCCCCAAGCAGACTTGAAGAATCTCAGCCCTGGATAAAGGAACCTAACTAGCCTACTGGATTTATTTACTATTTGTTCATATTTAGTTAATTGCTTTTATTCACAGGAACTACTAAAACAGACTGTACTTAAACCACAATAATTTAACAAATATCCATAAACTCTACTGACTTTCAGAATGTTTTTGTTTTGTTTGGTTTTTTTTTATTATTTTTTATATCAACTAGAAGATCCTCTAACTTAAAATTCACGTTTCCATATTGTGAGAGGAAATAATTAATCATTTAAATCACAATCTGAATTACAGAATGCCAAAAGATGTTAGTCAGTCCTTCACATCTGTCACTATGTTACTACAAAGAAAATGGCTAAATCAGGAATGTAATTTTGAGTTCTTCCCCTTCAGTCTTTTGAGAAGTTCATAAAAGATGCTTCAGATTGTCTTGTGAAACAGAATGAAAAGAAAATATAGTTTGCATGTGTGGGATTGTTTTGTTTCCATCCATTTAAAAGCCTGAAGCAGATAATTATATCCTAACTTAGTTATTATCTCAGCATTGTAATTACTTGGGGTGCTTGCCCCTCCTTCGGGGAAGTATCTAGAAGACCTTGGAGAAGAATATACTTAGCATTACTTTCTAGAGTGCCCACTCTTGTAAAAGAAACAGGAGATCCAACACACATATTCTACAAATGACAAGATGGACTTATACAAAACTGCAGGACTCCTGCATTTATTCCCTTCTGAGCTCTCAGCTACAGTTTGCTGACTAACAAGACTGTTTTTTACTTTTTGTTCTACCAAGATTTTAATTTTGAGACAGTTATTTTCTGGGCAACAAAAATAATTTCCATTGAGGAAAAAATGTAAAATGAAGGATATGTTTGACCAAAACCTTGTGTGATTTACTTTTTATTTAACTTTCAGTAGCACTGAAACAAAAGTGCCAAATGTTTTAAAATTTCTTTTGTAAGCGTATTCTTTTTAGTTTGTAATTCACAAATTATTTCAGTGCTTATGACTCTGCATCTTTATGTGAACACGTTTCAGCTGAAAATGTCAGCCTGCAAATTTCACTCATGAGACGGACCTGGGAAGTTTTGCTGTGACAGCTACTGGGGAGTTCTCCCATGAGAGAAATCATATGCCCAAATAAATAAATCCTTTAAGACCTGGTTGCAAACAGACAGTTAGTTCACTAACATATTAGTTGTAGAGTAAGTCTATTGAATATTTTGTTCCATGTTTCTGCAAAATTTGAGTAGGAAACCAATGTATAAGCTTTTCTTGATTGTTAAAAGAAAACTTTTAATAAATTCCTGCAAAATTAAGGATGACGGGAGTATTCTGCTCTATAGGTTGGGAAAGAACATGTATGGAGATGGTAGTCAGTGCATTCTTTAATCATGAATTTGAATTAGATTTCAAAGCCCCATAATTTTCCTAATTTTTCTTATATACAGTACTTTCAGAACAGAGATCTCAGCAAATGAAGTCTTACCAGTGAAACTACCTTACTGTCCTTATTGTGTAGAGGCATTGATGCTTGCAAATTTGTAAAAAATGAAGGCATAAGACTTCTCTTGTTAACAATACCATGTTCTCAGAGCATTATTTTGTTATTTATGCAGAACAGCCCAGCCCCTACCTCTTTTTCTGCCTCAGAAGTCTCTCTGAATCCAAAGTAACTAGATAGACAGGGCCCATGTTTTGCATTTGTGAAGATAAATTTGGTGGCTCTCAACATGTTCGACGCTCAGTCTTCTCAACTCATTTACCAAAATTGCTGCCACTGAGAGAACATTCAGCTGACACTTCATTTGACATTTCCTTCCCCATGAAACTTTTGTTTTTGAAGACAGTGATAGAAAAGAGGGAAAGGCAAAACTGTCAGTCACGAAAAGAAGTGTGGAATTAGAAGTGGGATAAGAATGGATTTAGAAAGTAGGAGGCAGCTGAAGTTTAAACATGTCATTTTTCAATTATAAATGGTGTAGTTACTTTATTCTTTGTATTTTCAACAATTCATTAACTATCATTCTGGATTGTTGAAACATGCTTTTTGAAACTACATGACATATAAACAGATCATAACCTATAGCACAGTAGTTTCTTACTTTTGAGTTCTTTGGACACAGCAGCTTCTTTTTTATCTGTAAGACAAAAAAAACCCGCACATATGCATTAAAACATAGGAAGTTAAAAAGATCCCTGCTCCTCCAAACTTCTTCCAATGTTCAACTGAAGTTCAAGCTAATGAATATCTTTCATGCTTGTGAAAAAGAGCACACATATGACACTTACCAAAACTGTGCCAATGTGGAATATCTTATATCCTAAAGAAATTCAGTCAGTCCTACGTATGGACCGTGTAAGAGTAGGCAAAATCTGTCCCTGGTTGGTTGAAGTTAAAATAACACAGCTGTATCAAAATACAGCACATCCAGGCAGTCTACCAGTGAGACTTAACTAAGATGTTCAGTCTCATCTTCAGTTAAGGTGTCATTTTTGTGCCACTCTTGTAGGACTGATGGCTGAGAGAAGATTTGGAATCTTTACTGACCAGATGTAAGTGAGCAGAAATACTCAGTGATAGCTTCTCTCTTCATTATGATTTTTTGTGTTATTCTACCTCAGGATTTTTAACTGGGTGCAAAAATCAGCCATTTTTATAACCATACTTGGGGCCTTATGTACTTTTTTCACTAGTCTCACCTGTACAGCTAAGAAGTGGTTCATGAAGGTCCTCTGAGACAGGAAGCAAAGATGCATAGACAAGTGGTAGGAATCACTTCCCTGGTGCCCATGAGGAAATGAACGTCTCTAATAATCTATAGTGTGCCTAGAATATAGGCAGGATAATGCTTATGTCCACAACATATATGAATGATAAACACTAATACAAGAAATACTTCAGGGCAGAAGCTGCCAAAATAAGTAGCTTGCAAAACCAAGACTATCCCATTACTGAGAATAATACAACGTTACTTCAGTTTCTGTTGCTCTCTAAATTGCTGTGAAGAAGTTGATATGAGATAAGGTAATGAAAATGACTGCCAAGTAGTCTAATAAAAAGTCTTGAAAAATTGAGAGGAAAATACATTTCTATTTGGGTGATATGATGCTCTGAACTGAAATGTTTCTAGGTTAATCCTCAGCTTCCACTAACTCTCTGTGAAAGCATGTTTTGCAGGCATTACTTCAAAGTATGATAATTACCACATTTAGATGAAATTAATCATGAGGCAGCTTTC